AATATCATGTACTCAACATATCAATGAAATCATTAATATGAATTTCACTTAAACCATTAATAACAGTCACTCTCTATAACATTTCAAAAATAACCAATCAAATATTTTGGGGTCAAATTTAGAAAGGCAGCAGTTTGTAAAAGGCATTCTAGCATAATTGCCAATTTAATATGTATAGAAAAACTCTTATAAAAATTCAAAAATACGGAATTATCACAATTTATGGGATATCAATCCACAAATAAACATTTCACAACAATACTATAATCAATTGCAAAAATGTCAATTTTTTTAAATAATAAGGCAGTCATTTGCACATGAATTTTACAATGTCTAAATATTCAAAACAGTAGAAAGAAATATCATAATTTTACTAAAAGCAGAAATATCACATTTATTTCTAACAATAAACAAGAAAAATAAATAAATTTTTTTTTCTAATTTACAGCATTCAAAATTTCTATCATAGATAAAATATCACAATTTTTATTAAAAAGGTTATTTTTCAAGATAATGAGGTCACGTGCGCATAAAATTTATCGCGCCTAAAATTCATGATAATAACCAGAAATAATTATTTCATTTCATTTTTAAAAAGAATGGATTATTTTTCGAGACAATGGGGTTACTTACACACAAAACTTATAAAATAAAGATCCTGGACGGAAATATCACTATTTATTAAAAACAGACTATTTTTCAGGAAGACGATGTCACTTACCTAAAATATTTGAGAGGGAGCTTCCGATAAAAATTCGGCTAGGGAGAGGAGCTCACTGTGTTTCGACCAGAAAGGGAAAGATTTCAAAAGTTTTCTAGGGTGGGAGTCCTTGCCTCTCATATTTAAACTCTTACGACACCTTATTATAATATTTTATTAAGTGACACCTCATAAACGAGGTGTAACCGTTACAATACCCCTTATATGCTTAAAGCCCTCGTCCACTTGACGTGGCAAGGCAGGAGCAAACAAAAGAAACTTAACCAAAAGATTTTGAAAATAGTGATGGTCCCTAAGGACCATCATGCTCATATAGACCATCACTTATTAAAAGTTTATTGTTCCCTTTTTTTTTTTTTTTTTTGAAAGTTTAGGATTGTTACACTCTAAAACCCTAGTTTAAGAGGTAATGTCTAAGGAAGCTTCCCGGCTCTAAAAATTCAGCAAGACCAATAGGATTGAAGTGAAGCATCGGTCAGGAAATCTGGAGTGGTGTGTGCTAAGTACTTTGGGGTTGACTCTAGGTATATTCAAGTAAGTCTTCCCAGTTAGCTTTTGTTTTTCAATCATATCTGCATATTTTCTTGAATTTTCAGGAATGTTATTTATACCTAAATTGTTAATGGAAGCTTGGTTTTTATTCTTAGGTTGTGTTTATTTACTTTGACGGCAAAAAGAAAGGTCCTTAGTTGTATTTAGGGGTTTGTTTCTTATTTACAGCAATGTTCTATGGCACTTGTAAATGGAATTCAGATTGATTAATTAAAGAAAGAAAGAAATTTTTTTATTTTATTGCCCTGAATTCTAAATAGCCACTTCTTTTAATCATTAGACCAGGACTGGACCTGTTCGGTCTTGATTGGGGCCAAATAAAAAAAATATATGATTTTTTTATAGAAAAAATTCATTGATTGTATATTACATATAAAAATATCTGGTCAGTTCGGATTGGGTCGACCCGATAAGTTCATGAATGGAGCCAAACTAGGATCCACTTTGTCTAATGTCTGGGTCCAGACCCAGGCCCGAATATCGGGTTAGTTGTTCGACCTGCCAACCCGATCCAATTGCCACTCCTAGTAAAGCATGTGTGTTGTACGGTTATTGTAAACAAAGATAAGGCTACATATTAATCGATATTAAAAGGAGGGATTTTTTAGTGGTTCCCATCATCGTTTAATTGTTAAAACACATTGTCTTGTCCATAATGCACATGGTGCAGCTTCCAAGAATCACCCCTTTTTCTAGTACCTGCATGTCATATTTATGACGAATGTTAGATGCCTTCATTGGGTCAACCATCTCCATGGCAGTGAAGTGCCCACGTGCTCCAAGATCTTTATTAGGGAAGGAAGCTTTATGACTTCACTGTTCAGAAGACAAGTGATATAGCCTGCAGCAACTAGTCTTCTGATGCACCAAGAGGATGCATAAACCTTTTCTGGTGCAGTTAAAAGAATGTGATGTTGGAACAAGAAGTTTTATTGAAGCCAGCACCTCAAACAACAGGGTTAAACTTGGAACCAAAGCAATAGGAGCATTTTTTATTACTATTTTACTTTTTTGCAGGACTCACAGGATTGGTTTCTTCGGGTACTTTTAATATGGGAAGGTGTTGAAAGTGAAAAGGTTCGCAGGGAGTTTTCCAACCCATGTATTGTTTTTTATTCATTGTTTTGTGACCTCGAATGAGGTATGTAAAGCACAACCTCAAATTATGAGTTGAGCAAGTAGAGGTTTGTGTAAGGGAAATCAAGGGTACAGACCGTCGAATTTTGAGCCGAAGCTGGACGAACATGACCTGCACCTTTTATTGATAAAAGATTTATAATCGGCCTCTACTCACAAGCTAAAATACGAAAGAGAGACAAACGAAACAAGAAGACCACAAAACCCTTTAACCACAAAGCCCTTTAAAGCTATATGTGTGTGCACCAGCTCTCATCCTCAAGTATTGCACAGATATTTGAAATGCCCAACTTTTTCTAAATAAAAGACAATTTTATTGTTTGTCTCTTGGTATAAACAATATAGCTTGCATGTATACACCTGCTGCAATAAGAACAAGATGAACTTTGGTATTCTTATCTACTTTTTGACAAACTACAATTAGTAATAGAAAAAAAGACGCATATCCCCCTCTCTAAAATTATTATTCCAATCCCGGTCCCATAAAAAACCCATAGAACCCCCCCAAGTTGAACAAAAAAGGACATTTAACCCCTCCTTATATTTTCATTGTCCAAACTACAGAATTTATCCTTCTTTTTTCTATTAACTCCATCACAAAAATTGAGTTTTTGATGCCTCTTTTAACTTACTTATGAGGTTTGTGAGATGAGAGAGATATAAGAATTAAGATAAGGCTTCTAGAGAGCGAGAGGAAGGAAGAGGTCCACGAGTGAGGAAGAAAGAGACAGAATGTGACATTTTTTAGGATTTAGATAACATGGTGATTTAGAAAAAAAAGGAGGGTAAATTCTGTAATTTGGACAATGAAAAAAATAAGGAGGGGGTTAAACATCCCTTTTTGTTTAACTTGGGGGGTTCTATGAGATAGTTATAGGACTAGGGGGTTATTTGAGATTATAATTTGAGAGAGGGGGGTTTATGATACAATCAAGATATTTATTTAAACAGTTTTATCATTAAAACATGGCTCTATTATGGTGGCACTGTCCAAGATCCATGTCAGGACACAGTCAAATGCCTATGTCAATAAGATCTGGATAATACTTTGTGGCTCATTCCTTCATGAAGATTAGCGGATTCCTTTAGGATTCAGAGACAAGAATCACAATGTGTGCCTAGAGACTCATGCTGCAGCCAGCAAAAGGGAGGCCAATCCATCTACCCTATGATGACAAACATGATAAGAAGCAGGATTCATGCAACTCCATATAAAGCACCAAAACATGAAAAACCAAGATAATTCCACAACCCATGCTCCATTTTTTGACTAATTGGGGCATAGCTATTTATGTATGAAGGCAGTGAAACCAAAACTGATGGGGGCCCATAGTTCTCCTATTTCCAACATGTGAGATAAGAAAAATGATAGAGACTTAGGGAGCAGTATAAAAAACTAAACTGTTCAAAGAATGATAAAATAAAGCCTGAAGAAATAAAAAAAGAAAAGACGACTACTAGTGGACAAAGGACATAACACATGGTAACCACCCAAATTTTACTGACCGTTTTCTGAATAACCCTCTGAACATTCATAGACAAGATTTCCCAAGTTCTCATGCTATGAATCTGCTAATTTAGTGTTTATCATATTCCTTTTGGTTGAATGCTGTGTGTTGCCTTAGCTTTTGAGTATAATTTGAAGACCATTTTGTTTTCTTTTATCTTGCAATAATGCTGGATCTGTTTGTTGATTTTTAGTCATGGAGACTTGGTGTGGATTTTTTTGTCTGAGATTCAAATAATTCCACATCAAATTTCTCCATTATCAAGAGAAAATTTCTGTTGCCAAACACTGAATTTAGAGGATCTTGTCTGTAGGGGGAGTTGCAGAAGATTTTTGCCAACAATCAAAGGAAAATAGCATGTGGTAAGTAAGATAGGAGAATGGTTACGCTTGATTCCTGTATGGCCCTATAGAAAATGGTTTGAGTGATTCTACACAGCAGTACATGAGGGATAAGCAAAATAGCATGTGGTATCGCTCAAACCTAATTTAGCTTATGAAGCATTATTTAATCTTTATCCCTTAACCTTTATTGGTATTATATTGTTAATCATGTCACATGTAAGCTTATTTTCCTCTGTCTTTAATTGTCTTTAATATTATATTGTGATGCAACCCGAGATCAGCTACTTAATTTTGTTATTACAAGACCCAGAAATGCATTACTAAAATTCTACAATTTCAACAGGTAATCATATTGAAAACTAAATAAGCAATCTTTGGTGTAACAAGCATGCATTCAGGAATTTTCCCTGGTGGGTGGGAGTTGAGATTTCAAATTTGGAATGGATTAAGAACTGTCCTTAGGCAAAATCTGCCAAACAAAATTGGTCTTTAATCAAATCTAAGGCTGGCCTGCTGCTTGGTGTGAAGAAGATGTCATATAATAGCTTAAAATCTATTCTAGAAGGATTGCCACAACTAGATCTAGGGTTTTGGTACTAATGGGAAGTAAGAAAGTATGGCTTGAGTTTAGAGAGGGAATTACGGTTTTGGTCTTAGGGTTTTGTTTAGGTTAAATTTTGGGGCATACAGTTGGGTCATTGAGGTTTAGGTGAATAACGATTGGGGTGGGAGGTGTTTGGAGGGTTGGGGTAAGACGATTTGGATGGGGCTCGTGTGGAGGATTTGAGTAAGCAAAACGAAATAAGAGAATAGGACAAACAAGGAATGGAGAAGGAGAAGATGAGAATGACAAGGAAAAAAGGAGAAGAAAGAGAAAGAAGAGAAGAATTAAAGGGGCAAAGGAAAAAAGAGAAGGAAAGTGAAGTATGACAAAGAAAGAGAGGGTGAAATGAAAGAGAAGGATTGAATGTTACCTTGGAAGGGAGTGACCTTTTGGATTTAGTGCTACTAAGACTTTCACTACGACCTTCAATCAAAGGCGATAAGACAAACCCTTCTTCAAAAGTTTCTTGAACAAATCATTCACCAAGGGGCTGGGTGTCCTCCTCTCCATTTTATACATATGTGACTCACAAAACATGGACCCAAAGACCCCTAACCAAAGAAATACTAAAGGACTAAACTAACCATAATTACCCCTTAATTCCAATGAACAAATAAATAGTGTAGTAAATAAAAAAAATTGACTAATATGGTCTGATTGAAGGTCATAACATGACAAATACTCCCCAGTTTGTGAAGAATTCAATCCTGTCGTCTACATCTCCATGCAGCATTGATAAAGACCGTCTAGCTTTCTCCACAACTGATGCTCATCAATTCACGAACAAGTAGTCAATGGGTGATCTTTCCAACAAATGTCTCCAGTACAAACCACTTGTATGCATCAATTTTAATGTCTACTCCATCCTCGATCTCATCCTCGGTATGTCTTGGTAACTCTACAGTTTCAATCGACCAAACATTTAGGTGTACAGGTGGGTCTTGCCAACACTTGTAGAGATCAGCTATGCTAAATATTGACATGTGAAGATACTTAGGAAGGTTGAGGAGATACGCATTGTCACCTAGCTTCTTGAGAACCTGGTGTGGCCCAAACTTTCACTAATGTAACTTCCTCTAAGATCCCAAAACTTATTGTAGGTGCTGATTGGGATCTTTCATGCATCTGAATGTACCACGGCAGTCTCCCTCTGAAAATGATGAGTGTGAGGTGTAGCATGACAGAATCTCTCATTGAAAATGTAGATGCACATCTGCGACCTGTCTATACCTAGTGTATAGAGCTCTCAGCATGTCAAGGACCTCCTCTGTACTTCCTTGATGTGTTAGGAGCTTCAACTCCTCTCCTCCTCATAGTGGAAAGCAGCATAGTCTAACACATGTGGAATGGAGTGACAATACACTATCTTGAAGCGCGACTTTCCAGTTGATCAATAAACCGAACTACCGTAAGAAAATTTTAACAGGGGAGGACACTGATAGTCTGATCTCATGGGCTCAGCCCCTCACATGCAAGACATTCCAATAAGTTTCCCAAACTATGGTTGACCACCTCATTCTACATGTCATTTTGAAGAAGATGTGCAAAGTGCATCAAGTGGACAGAGTGACATGTATCTTCTACAAGAGCAGCAAATTCCTCCTAAGAATTCCTCCAAACCCTTGCGTACATTTGGAGGATGTGAACCCTAGGAGGATACCAAGAGGAACAAGAAGAGCAAGCATTGCTTGGGATGATTTTACAGTTATTTTTGGGTAATTTTCAGTTATTTTTAATTGCTTTTAATTTCTGGATCAGTTGGGGGATTTTCTAGGCATTTTATTTTCTAGGATTTTCTTTTTTTTTTAAGTCACTTAAGTTAGGACTTTTGGGTCACTTACTTTATTGTATGGATATTTTATGTCCTTGAACATTTATTATTATTTGAGAGGCTGGTGGTGAAAGAGAAAAGCTTAGGGATTTGAAGCGCTCGTTGGTTTTGAAGAAGAAACCCTAGGTTTCTTCTATTTGTTGCTTGTGCTTGGCCTGAATAATTGCTGATTTTCTGTTCTTCATCAAATTTTTCCTACATCAATTTGGTATCTGAGCGCTGGTTTCTTCAGCAACAAGTCCAGGGAAAGACAATGAACTCTAGGTTTTACTGATTTTGGGCCAAGATTTGCTTATTTCAGCCAAGGGTTTACCAAATTCGACCTAGATCTTACTGATTTCAGGTAGGTTTTGTTGATTCTCTTCTTAGGGTTTGTGATTTCAGTAAACCATGGTAGAGAGAAGGGGCTGTGGAAAGGGGGTCTTCGTAGATTACTTTGTGATCCTGGAGATGAAGAGATTGAAGACCTCAGAATGCAACTTCAGCAGCTTATGCAGCAGCTCGCGAGCATAAATCATCATAGTCTTTTCCCTACTAATTAGGGATGGCTCCATGAATCCTGGTCTGTCATTATACTATATTAAAGGTCATACTTCAGTGAGGCCATATGTCCCCATATCTTTGCTCACTTCTTCCAACTTTGTCCTTTGGGCCCACCCCTTGTCTTTTTTGAGCCTTCTCAGGAAGCTCCTTATAATAAAAAACTCTTAACCAGTCTATAAACTCCTCGATTTAAGGCTTATTGTCAAAGTTGGGAATATGAACCTTCACGTCATAAGCCCCAGAGTGGCGCCTCCCACATCTAGGCCTTCCATTGCTGTCCACATCACTTGACTATACATGCGGAGCTCAACAATGAAAAGGGTTGAACTAGATCTTGGGTTGAAAGATCACCATCTAATCGTATTCAAATTATTTAATTTTTTGTCGGATTATGCTGATTATACCATGTTTCACACAATCACTTCAACAAAAGATTTTTCAGATCCTTCTCTTTTGAGGGACACTTTTGTTGGCAGGTGAGCTTTGTTGCTCTTTGAGGCATGATTCTTTCTAAATATTTGTCCAGACCAGCTCACTTGTGCTTACAATATAAAGTGAAGTACTTCTTGGACTAGTTTTTATGCCTGAATAACTGGTTTTATGTTATTCTTCCAGCATTTGCTTGAATACTGGATGTGAAAAATATTTATGATGATTGATTCAAGGTGCACATGCATTTTAAAACATCGCAGAGGATACTTGATTAAACCTCATTTTAAAACATGGCAGAGGATACTTGGTTAAACCCAGTGTTTTCTTTCAGTACATAATCACAATATGATACTTACTACATTGACACTTTCATTCCAGTTAAAGAAAACTTGAAAGACAATGCTTTTGTAATCCAAAAAACACTGATGACCGACTTTTCATACTTGTATTGTTCGATTTTTCTTTCTGAGCCCAATGTCACTCAGATCACGCAAATTGTTTAAGTTTGCAGTACATATTTGAGCTCATGTATGCTACTCTTAACCATGCACTTGAATTATATTTGGTTTGTCATTGCAGATCCCGAAATGCAGCAGGAAATTAACAGCTATATCTCTTCAGGTCATACTGTATTTGATGTCCTACTGTTGGTAGGTTATCTTATGCCCTGTTGTTGGTGCTCTGGCATGTGCAGTTTGTACTTTAATGATAGTCATGTTCTAAGTACTATTTTGGTGCTCTAAGCTCGCCATGCAGATGCCAAAGAATGCTGTGGCGCCCACCACCCTAACCACCTAGCCTTGAGCCCATTTCTAGTGTGGAGAATTTAGTTGCTCTATCCAAAAATCCCTTACTCTTTTTTAAGAGTACATTTTTAATATTTAAGTTTTTTGGACATTTGCTTCGGTTTGTTCGACAGATGGATTCTTCTGAGGATTGGGAGCCAGCAACCTTGCATTTGAAAAAATCCAGCTATGAAATTAGGCGCACTACTCAGGACGAAACAGTTCGAGAGAAATATTCCCGAGACATTTCGGTGTGTCCTACTTTGCAAGGATATCTTATGAATCTTAGTAGGAGTTTCTGATGGAGTCATCCAGTGGAATATCTGATGTTACGTCTGCTTTTGTTTAGTTATGATTACTAGTGCAATTTTTTATAATTTAATGCCAGCTTATCCTTGGCATAAAATTCCTCTGGGTGATGACACTGCAGATGAGAATTCCTTCTGGCCTCTCAGTGCAATGTGTTCTAACAAGTTCTGATGGGACGTCATACCCATTAAGCACGAATGAAGTCCGGTATTTTACCTCCGCCTTTTCTCTTCTGTTTGATATTTTAATTGTTTATGTCATGGCCTATGATAAAAACTTCATCATGCATGTCACTTTATGAGCAATGTAGCCCCATATTCTCTTTTCCTTGTTTATTAAAAATGATTATTTACGGTGCATTCAATTGTAAGCTCACCCACTCTTATAATCTTATTTTATATCAACCATTGTTTACATTGCATATTTTTTGCATTTTGACATTGCACAAACGCAGGTGGTGGGGATATGCCTCAGTATTTTCTGAAATCTAGGACGCATGAATGGTTACGAGTTTCCTAATTGACATGTATGTTATGTACATGCATAATGTATAGTGTGTCAATATTGGCGATGCTTAAGGAGTATGTTATTATGATACAGAGCATCACTCCTCAAGCGTCTATTGTTGACAACTTGACATCAGCTAGTAAAGGATCTGGTAGCATTGAAACTCAAACGCTAGCGGAGAATATTTCCTATTGTCAATGACTTAGTATTTGCATTGTTATGTATATGACCAATGGCAATATTACACCATCATTCTATGTCAATAAATGATTGGACCAAACTATCCTTAAAAATTGTTTATAAATTCTTCCGAGCATTCTCACTGTTGGGGTTTGTGTCCTTTAAAGTCTTGAAGAGCATGTTATTAATATTTATAGTGGATTATACATTTCAATGGGAGTGTGTGCGATGTTTGACTAAGGGTTAGGCAGTCTATGGCCTTGCCCTGGGCATCTGACACTACTGAAAAGGGTCTACGGAGCATCATCCCTTTTGAGATTAGAGAGATGCCCAAGGTTAAATTATAGGCCAGGAGAGTTCTATTGTCTCTGTGAGATCAAAGGCTAAATCTTCAACAAACTTCCGCACGGCATGTACATATAACAGCCGCATACCAGGAAACAACCCTAAAAAGGTATACGTGTAAATGTGTGCATAGAGAGAGTCTCCCGTGCGTTATAGTGACATATGCTTGACTTGCTCTTTGGGGAGAACTATAATCCAGATTCTTGAATCATGGTTCCATTGTTTATTGGCTAGTTTTGCTGAGCGAATCATGAGCCCCTGCATGACAATGTGGTTCAAGGTTTTGTTGGGTCGTTTTGAGAAGACAGACGTGGATCACGGTCATTGGGCCGGGTGGAGTGCTCTTACAATCACTTATTTTGCCCCATTCGTACTAGTCCACTTTTAAACATTTTATTTTCAGTATTATAAATGCTTTAATGAATTTAAAAAAAAAAACAAATCTTGTAAAATTAGTTTCTGCCATAAAATCCTTAATTATTTTTAAAAATATTGTAGTGTGTAGGGCACATGTATATCACACACCATGGATGGGGCGTGGAGCCCATGGGGCCCAAATGTAATCCATAGAGGTGGCACGCCCATCTCCTTTCTTGCTTTTGAAATTTGTTTTAGTTAAATATGTTTTAAGTAGTTAGATAATCTTTAAAAAAGAAAAATTGGATAGACATACTTAGGTGGGTTGTGGCCTATATAAGGAGTTGACCCCCCTTCATTCTCTACGCAATTTCCTAGCCTCTCTATTTATCTTATCTCTCCTCACCCCACTATTTCTCATCTCATCTCTTTAGCTCTCTCTCTAGGTGGGACACCACCCAAACGTAATTAAGGTTTGAAGAAAGAGGGACAAGCCCAGCCCTAGAAAAAGGGTGGTGGGAATTTTATCAAAAAGGGGTTCTATTAAACCCTAATTACTTTTATTTTCGCTAAAACCCTAGTTTGAGAGGTATTGCCTAAGGAAACTTCCCGACTCTGAAAATTCAGCAAGACCAATAGGATCGAAGTGCACTATGATCAGGAAATCGGGTGTGGGGTGTACTAAGTCCTATGGGGGTGGCCCCTATGCATAATTCAGTAAGTCTCCTAGCTATTTAGTTTTATTTTTCAATCATATTTGCTTGTTGATTCTGAATTTCCAGGAACATTATTTGTACATAAATTGTTTGTGGAAGCTTGGTTTTTGTTCCTGGATTGTGTTTATTTATTTTGGCATTAAAGGGAAAGGTCCTAGGTGGCATTTAGGGTTTTAATTTTTATTTACAGCAGTGTATTGTGGCACTTGTAAGTAGAATTCAGATTTAATAATGAGAAGAAGAAGAATTTTTTTATTTTATAGTCTTGAATTCCCCATAGGCACATCTTTCACTCACTAGATTTGTTTTCAGATGTATGCTCTGGATACTGAGCGTGTCTGTGTAACTTCATTATTATATGTTGTAATTGAGGATATTTGTATTATATAACCCCATCGAGTGATTGAATTATCTATGACTCAAGAGAGATTCCAAACTCAGTTTTGCTTGAGCTTCCTTTCTACAGTTGTGTCCTTGAATTTAGATTTAAAATTTGATTGTCTTTCTTTACATTCATTCTTCATCATCACTTTAATCGATATTGGTGTGATTTTCTTTATAGGTTACGCGACACACTTGTTTTGACTATGAGAATCTTCCAAAGACAGGTAGTTTTGCATATCACCATCTTATATCATACAAAACAAATGTTTGCCATTGTGGCCGTAACTGGGTTGAAACTTGTGAATTATTGCTTATATCAAATGTGGACGGAATGTTATACATTTATGGCACATGTTTAGGTTGTAATGCATGCTTACCCAGCTTCCTGACTACATCGATAATTTATCAATCAACAATTCTGTAGAATGTAAATGATAAGGATAGAGACTCCATATACTTTAATGCATAACGGATGTGATTATGATGAAAACCAAGTGATGTGCCATCGTTTAACATCCATATTCATTAAAAGGCTTACATTAGAGATCATGATGGGGTAAAATAAAGGATGATATTAGAATTTCTCCTTTCAAGCTTACTTTTTTCTATTAATTAGTTGTTTTATAAACAGAGTCGTCGTTAAGTGACAAATTTGTACTGAAACACATACTCCAGCCTAATTCAGTTCTGCTCCGAAGTAAATGTTTTATTGCCGAGATGTTGACTATCATGTTGGTGTTGGGCTGGTTGTCTTATGCTATTTCCAGACTAGGAAAAGACATTAGCCAACATGAAGACGTACTTGTAGGGAATTCTGACTTGCAAAAGCAGTCTTATTTTATTCATACCTGCTGTAGTTCAATAGATGTGATGTAAATGACATTTGTGTTTTTGGGTCTCAATAGGGATTTTATGATTTATGAAATTACAATTGTCTCACTATGTTTGAGGTGTGTATCCCCATGAGTATATATAGTTGGTGCTAAGCTGAATTTTGTTGTCTTGGTCCAGAAGCTGGTCTAACTGGCAGTTATCCCAGTTTGGCAGTTGAAAGAAATGAAATAATTGAATAAAAACAGTGAAAATTATGCAAGGAACTGGAAAACATTGATGCAAAGTGATATGGATGAGTGGCAAGCCAAAAGCTGGAGTTGGGTAGGGACTTAGAAGGTAAGCTGTTCACATAGTTAACTGCATATAGTGAACAAATATAGAATTGCATGGTTAAGTTTTCCATCCTCGTGGATATTTGATTTTAGGAAATGTATACAATGAGACCATTTACTTTGATACAAGGTCACAACAATTATTAACCATTAGATTTGAAATCAGGTGGTTGAGAATGTGTCATTTGAGTTGGGTTGTTGGGACTTAGAAGGTATGCTGTTCAAATAGTTAACTGGATATAGTGAACAAATAGAGAATTGCATGGTTAATTTTTCCATCCTCGTGGATATTTACTTTTAATAAATATATACAATGAGACCATTTACTTTTGATACAAGGTCGCAATCATTATTAACCATTAGATTTGAAATCGGGTGGTTGAGAATGTGTCATTGTTTGAGCACAAAGACCAAAATAAAAATTCTCATATGTTATGACTCACTTTTCATATATTGGATTGCACATCCAATGGCTAAAAGTGATTGCGATTTCCTTATACCGGAAATAAATGGTCTCATAGTATACAATCCCTTACTTTTATTAGTGGAATATTTCCTCTCGACCTATCTCATTGACATTGTCATGAACTGTATCTCCTTTTGGTGGAGAACACCATCCTATGCCCAAGGAGATAATACAGGAAAGAATCTTTATTGAATATAATCTTTTTGTTTGATGAGAAAGATCAAATATCCCATTAGAAGTCCCACAATTGCAAGCACGCTAGAGCGAGGGAGTATTGTCGGATCCATGAGGACTCTGAATAGTGATCTTTGAAGGATAGTCATGGGAGTATTCTACAGAATTAGAGTCCCACACTACCTTGGACAGAAGGATGTTCATTGCTGTGTTTCAAGTACTTTAGGAAGCTTTTAGATTTTATATGTCATTGCCCACATCTCACATCACACATATACGTTTTGTTTTTGTATCTTGGATTATTCCACTTGGGCGTTTTATGCCAGGGCAGTCAACATGGAAGGCTATTTTCCTACTTACGCAACTGATTGAGAAATTTACGGCAAGGGGAAAAGACCTTCAATCCTCTACATGGTTTTTATTGATCTAGAGAAAGCTTATGATAGAGTACCTCGATATTTAATTTTAGGGGTGTTATAAAAAAATTGAATCTCCAGATACTACATTGACTTGGTGAGAGATATGTACGATGGAGCGCTTATTAGTATAGGAACAACTAGTGGAGAGACGAGTGAGTTTTCAGTGACAATAGGTCTACATCAGGGGCCACATTGAGCCCATACCTCTTTATCTTAGTTATGGACAAGATGAGGTATCGTGGTGCATGTTGTTCGTGGACAACGTAGTTTTGATCGATGAGACCCGAAACGGCTTCAACACAAAGTTAGAACGTTGGAGGGATGCTTTAGAATCTAAAGGTTTTAAAATTAACCAGACTAAGACAAAGTATATATAATGCAAATTTAGTAATAATGGTAGAGACGAGGAAGTAGTTACGATTGACAGCCAAAAAATACCAAAAAGAGTGAATATCTTGGATCGATAATCCAAGTCATTGGAGAAATTGAGGAAGATGTCGTACATAGAATTAGAGCTAGCTTGGCGAAGTGGAGATTTGCAACTAGAGTTTTATATGATTGTCATATACCAATGAAGTTGGAGGGAAAGTTCTATAGGACAGAAGTGACTGAGACCAGCTTTGCTATATGGGGTGGAATGTTGGGCAGTCAAGAACCCATAGAATGAGTGTAGTTGAGATGCGGATATTGAGATGGATGAGTGGCAAGACAAGAAGGTATAGAATTCGAAATGAATACATTCGGGAGAATTTAGGTGTGACACCAATAGGCGATAAGATGAGAGAAAGTAGACTTAGGTGGGCTGCCATGTGCTGTGCAAATCCAATACGGCACTGGCACAAGAACTCGAAGGCAAAGCTCGAGGCTGAAGCTTTAAGCGACAGCTTGAAGCGAAAGCCGGACTTGAAGATCTAAGCAAGCGAGGCAATAAGTCTATCTCCCACTAATGAACTCGAGCTACGGGAGCCAGAAACTTTAGCTGGCTGCCCTGTTAGGAGGTGCGAGTTAGTTCAAGTTGAAGGCTCGAAAAGGGAAGGGGTAGGCCCAAAAGACGCGGTTGGAAGTAGTAAGAAAAGATATGGGATTTATGGGCTCATTGAGGGTATGACCCTTAATAGTGCATAATGGCAGACCAGGATTTGATAGAGCAGAATGGCAGATCAGGATTCATGTAGCCAACCCCAATTAGTTGGGAAAAGGCTCTTACTATGATGATGATGATGGTTATTCCACTTGGGAATGATCAAATATCACATTCCATCAAAATCTTGCTTTAAACAAGGTTTTGAGGACTACAATAGAATATCAGGTTTTTTCCCCTCCTTTTTTTAACTTAATCTGATAGAAAAGTGTGATTAAGGTTGCATAACTTTGTTCTCTAGTAAAGTAAAATTCATAATGAAGCTGATTGACACTATAAGAGAAGGTGAAGTAGGAGAACACTGGAAATAAGATTTAAAGATCAAAACCCATGACCTCAATGAGGGATCTGGAGAAGAACATTTTTAATCTCTTGCAGATATGATGTGAAGTACGTTGTTGCTAACCTTGGTTATGAAAAGGTAAATGAGAATTGCAAGTTATTTCTTCAGAATTATCTAAATAAATCACTTTTTTGGATCATATTTATCTCAAACATACTTCCATATTTTTGTGGGGTCTTTTCTTTGGGCTTACCAGCTTGGGCATAGGTTGTACGCATGTTGGAAGTTGGAACTTAATAGGTTGACTACTGACATGCACTTCTCAATGAAATTTTAATTTGACATTCATGTTCATGATAAATTCAAAGCTTACCAGCACATTCCATGTAGCATGAGATTTAATATTTAATATTTAGATAATTACATGGCTATTCTGCACACTGCATGCCTGAAGTTATAGACATGTGGAGAGGCTCTAAAAGCACGCTCTCCTTTTGTCTATACTAATGATCTCTATTCACTTTTCAACAGCTATTCTGTCTTCTAGATAAAGTTGCCAAAGCATGGATACTTAGGCAATTATTTTTGTGTCTGGACCTTTCAGGCTTTAGACAGGAAAAAGGGGAAGGCCTAGGCTGCATTCTTGACTATTGGTATATATATGTTACTTATGTAAATTTGATTATTATTTTCATGCAAAAGCATCTCATAGGTGGAAAATGCAATTGAATACTGAATAGCATACAACCATTGTGGTAGTGTCCAAATTTAATTTATCCAGTTCTGGTGAGCATTATTGGGTCTTGTAAAATGATCACTTTTGTAACCTATTTCTGCAGTGGAAGAATTTACACACAAATCCTTGCCATCTGGTTGGATCGACAGAACATACATAATGCAAGTCATTTGTGTTATATGAAATAAAAAAGCAAAGCTATATTGTAGATCTCAAATCTCCATTAGAATGATCTGCAGAGCCAAGTTCAGTCCATCCATCCATATCCATAATAAAAGGGAAATGTTAGCTTGCTGGTGTTTATAAAGGCGAAGGTCATGACCATATATCAATCCATGCGTGAATTTGGGAAGAGATTTCAAATGCACATATCAAAGAACACTTGCATCTCAAGGTTGCGAGGAATGCAACGGTTGTGGAGCCTTTTGTACACGTATATCAAAATCGTCATTTTTGAGACATCAGAATATAAACAAAAGAATTTGTGACACCGATTGTTGGCACAGGTGAATGCAGTGGCATCTTTTCAGATTGCGAAAGTCATATTCACATCCAAATATGTCCTTAGTGAGATCGAGTTGCCATGCATTCTTTATGCTTTTTGACGTTGCTCGATTGTAATGGTCAGAGCTTTGTAAATTTCTAGTGAGAGTTGAACTGACAATAATCACGAGGTCCATCTTTTCCACACCATTGGTTCTATATGCATTGAGGTTTTGGGCAACTTAATCACATTTCTTCCTTTGTAGCTATTGGACTGAGATCCAGTTTTCATGGCCTTAATAACACCCCCAGCATCTCAAGCCCAAGCTTGAATTACCAAAAAGTGTTAAAAGAAAGAAAAAAAAAAATCTGGGTTTTTTTTGGTAGTATTTTTCAACCGCTTCTTAATGTATTTGCGCCCAACAACTGTTTGAAGTCTCATGAGTGTGTGACCTAAATGCAGAGGAACTGTATGGTCATTCAATACTGTCCTATCAATGCGTTGAACGGTGATCTAGGGAGAGGGTTTCACCAAACACTTCATTAATTCTATGGTATGCACCCCACTCCCTGCACAATCCCAACACATTCATTGGGTGGCAATAGGGCTGTAATAGTGTAGGGTAGGTCCAAGCCCGCTTGGGCCCAAAATTTTACTTCGGCCCTGGCCACAAATCTAAGATAATGAGGCCCTAGCCTGGCCTGGACTGTAAAAATAAGCCCTGGCCTGGCCAAAATAAAAAAATAGGCCTACCAAGTTGGTCCATGGGCCTTAACATGCGGCTTGGACAAGGCCTAAAATCAGGCCCCGCTCGAAAGCCGGTAGGGCAGCAAGGGCCATTAACAAACTAAGGAGTGTATTTTTGGGAAAATATCTCCATATTCTTCTTTTTTAGGTTTCATTCTTTGATAAACTCAAAGTTTCAAAATATATCTTCTAACCCGTTGACAACTTTAAATTTATTTTTTAACCTAAACAAATGTAAGAGATACATGTTTTTTTTAAACCCAATCTTTTCTCTTTTTTTACGTATATACTCCAGACTTATCTTTTTGTCTTTCTTCATACGTCTTTCAATCACTCTCTCTCCCCCTGTGTTTTTCCAAATGCCTCTCTCTTTTTGGTATCTTCTTACATCCATGAAGCCGTTATATCTCTTTAAAAGTTTGGGGGATGACTTTTAGAAAAAACATGTCTTTTAAGATTTGTTTGGTCTAAAAAAAAACACGCTTAAATTAAATCAGGGGGTTAGAAAAAATAAAATCTATAAATTTTATTCTCCAAGATATATTTTAAAACCTTGGGTCTATTGTGAAATAAAACCTAAAAATAAAGAGTATAAAGATATTTTTCTTATATTTTTACCCTATAAAACATGGATGCGCATGTTCAAGGGTCAGACCACATGTTGACACTTGAATGATATTGCCACTTGTGTGGACACTTCTAGAAATGGATACGACAGCCCATTGAATGTCCAATAGTCTTATTTTTTGGGTACATTTGTTTTTTTAGAATGCGGCTATTCTTTGTTTTGAAACACCATTCTTCAATAAAAAAAAATATTTTATTTTAAAAAATATAATAAAATAATAAAAATTTATTCACGTTTACTTTATTTTCTTTTATTTCCAAAATACCAAAATTGAAGCCCATTTTTTTTAAAAAAAGTCAATTTTGAACGCCCAATTTATATAAATTTTTTTTAAAAATCATTGTTTTTACTTATGAAAGTTGTACTTGATTATGTAAGTCAATTTTGAAAACACTTATTGGTTTTTTTAATAAAAATATTTTAGAACAAGAAGTAAAAGATATTTTAGCTTTTTTCCATGTTGCTACGATGCAGCCTTGGATTGGGCTATAAGAAATATTTGATCAATTTTACAAAGTAACAATTTTTAGTTTATTAATTTAATTTATTTTTTTTTGAAAAATTATCATAAATATGCTTTAATTTTTCCTTAATTGGAAAAAAAAAAAACCCTCAACTTTCATAAATCCCGTTTACATTTTTTTTTTTCAATTTCCATTTTTTTTTTACCAAATTAACTTTCACGGTAGCCGTATTACTATAATGACTACCACATGACAGTAATGACCAGATTAAGCATTACGGTACTTTAAAAATCATAATGCTCACTTGGCCTTTTTCTCTCCCATTGTTACATCTCATCAAACTTTTTTTTTTAGAGAATAAATTTTTCTCATTCTTTTTTTTTTTTTAGCAAATTTCAAGAGTACTTTGTAGCATTTCAACCAATTTGAATTTTGAGCATTTCAACGTGTATACGGTTTTTGAAGTATCGAAATGCCTAGAAATTTAACCATTATGGTCTTTTAAGTACTGTAATCATTACGGTACTTTAAAGACCGTAAGTCCTGGAAAACAACTGGATATTTGAACATTACAGTCATTAAAGTATCATAATACTTAGCATGGTCATTACGGTACTTAAAGTATTGTAATACTTAGACTGATTATTACGGTATTTAACGTACCGTAATGCTTAGCTTAGTCATTACAGTATTTAAAGTATTGTAATGCTATAGTCATTACGGTAATATGAGTACAGTGAATGTTATTTTGGCATAAAAAACAAAGAAAGTATTGTAATACGATAGTCAGTACAGTAATACGAATATAGTGAAGGCTATTTTGGTATAAAAAAAAGCCAAAATTAAAAAAAAAAAAAAAAAATTAAGAAAAAGGTGTAGACGAAGTTTATAAAAGTTTAGGGTTTTTTTCTAATTAGAAGAAAACTAAGGTATATTTCTTGATAGTTTCCCTTTTTTTATGATGTTTTATTATTGTTATGACATAGGAATTACAGTAAATTTAAACGCAATTGTGAACCGTACAATTTTCAATGTGTATATCTATAGGGATAGGTTTATATAGTTCCCCTACAACATATAAGATATATGCTTTCCCCCTCATCCAGTCGTCCAATTTATACATCAAGTTAGTCATTCATCATTTGATCTAGATCCGATGTACTAGAGTATTTTATTTTTAGTTTTTTTACAAATTGTATGAATATGAAATTTGGTATGTTCTATCTTCTCATTGAGAGGCACCTAAAAAAAGTATTAAAAATAATTTTTGAGAAAATATAATGACCAAAATGCCCCTTAAAACTTTTAGGGGTATTTTAGTCATTTTATTCTATTGATAATATTTTTTTAATATTTTTTATTAGTGCGAATTTAAGAAAAGAGTGGACGTCCAAAATTTGGTAATGATTTGAATAAAAAAATTAAAAATAAAATAGTGTAGAGACATGAGAATGTGATTGAGCCATTCTGAATGGACGGAAAGCTTGCACATCTCTATATACATACACTTACACACCTATATATTGCACCGGGGGGTGTTTAGATTGGTTTTTTTGAAGGAAAAGTATTCATTTAGTTCGGCGGACTCACCTATTCGTGTGCAATCTCCCTCTAAAATATCTCAAAGATGTATTTTCCATTCAAAATTTTGGGGTTCGATGATCTCAACCATGACGGCGATCTAAATTTCGATTTTAAAAAAAAAAAGGAAAAAAAGATACAAATAGAAATATTTTTAAAATTCCTTTTTCTACCGTGCTTTTAGTTTTTAATGAATGTAACATTTTTGACATCTAAAGATTGACGTTTGATAGACAAAGGCCGGCACCAGTGTTTTAAAAAACGTCGAGTTGAACCGGACTCGTCCGGTTCGACTCGAAAACACGCGTGGCTGTGTCGATTCCAACAGAAAACCGGGAACCGCCCGGTTCTAGAGTGGAGCCACCGCGGTTCCCATCCGGTTCAGCCCGGTTCACACACGTAACACATGACACACACGTGCGAGCGTACCCCACGTGCACACTTGTGCACGTGTGTTCGAGCGCACGTGCGAACGTGCCCCACACACGCGCACACGTGTGTCCGAGCACACGTGCGAGAGTGCCCCACGCACACTCACACGTGCACATGTGTGTCCGAGAGTACCCCACATACGTAACACATGACAAAGGCCTCGGTTTGACTCGAAAACACGCGTGCCCGTGCTGGTTCCAATTGAAAATCAGGAACCGCTCGGTTCTAGAGTGGAACCGCCGGTTCCCATCTGGTTCAGCCCGGGTTCTAGAGTGGAACCGTCGGTTCCCATCCGATTCAGCCCGGTTCTAGAGTGGAACCGTCGGTTTCCATCCGATTCAGCCCGGTTCTAGAGTGGAACCGTCGGTTTCCATCCGATTCAACCCGGTTTACACACGTAACACATGACACACACATGCGAGTGTTCCCCACACGTACACGTGTGTCCAAGCGCACGTGTGAGCGTGCCCCAGCACACTCACACGTGCACACGTGTGTCTGAG